AGAATCCGTTTTAATCAGGTGAATATCTCAGGATATGTTCATCTACAAGAAGGAACAAAAACATCTACACCCCCCTGAACATAAGAGGATCTGCGGTGGAAGTGGTCTCCAGCTACAAGTACTTGAGTGTACACATGAATGACAACCTCAGCTGGAGCAACAACACCACCAGCCTGATCAAGAAAGCTCATCAGAGACTCTACTTCCTCAGACGGCTGAGGCGAGCTGGTCTGTGAAGCTCAGTCCTCACCTCCTTCTACAGGTGTGCAGTGGAGAGCATCCTGTGCTTCAGCATCAACGTGTGGCATGGAGGCTGCACAGCTGCAGAAAGAAATCTTTGCAGAGAGTGTGAAGGCTGCACAGAAGACTGTCGGAGTCAGCCTCCCCACCATCACAGACATCTACATCTCTAGATGCAGGAAGAGGGCTACCTGCATCATGAAGGGCCTCACTCACCCAGCACACACACTTTTTGCCCCACTCCCCTCAGGAAGGAGGTTGAGGAGCAGTAAGTGTAGAACCACTAGACTGAGGAACAACTTCTACCCTGAGGCTGTTAGACTCATGAATCTCTAACCAGAATCATCACTGTGAAAAACCACATCATGTTGCTGCTGATCTGTTTCATGTTGCTGCTGATCTGTTTCAATGTTGATGTGTTCATGCGTGCACATCTGCTCACACAGACTCATGTTCACGTTTGTGCTGATGTTCAATGTTTTTATGTTATGATTGCTTAGTGTATATTTAGTTGATGTTTTTCTTAGTTCATATCTTGGATGTTATTACTGTTTTTCTTGTACATTTTATTGTTGGATGTAACTGGGACCCTGTGTACATAATTTCGCTCCACCACATGAGGTGCGAATGACAATAAAGAAACTCTGACTCTAATCAGTTCATGACTCCTGTCATCAATCAGTTCAATTGATTAATAATCAGTTCACTTATTATTAATCTGTTCATATTGAAGAGCCGTGGATCTGCTCTGTTCACGGCTTTTTCAGCTTCTCCTCTTTCCCATTGAAAACTTTCCGGGGCGTTCATGCACTCGAAACACGTAAACTACGCAGTGCGCGTCTGTGCATGGTGCGTGTAATAACGCAACCCGTATTTACGCACATAGAGAGCTGAGTGACAAGATGTTTTTTGGGCAAGCGGATGCTTTTTATGGTGCTCGAATGGACCCAGTGAGGCAGAGACTACATCATGCTTTGCCCTTAACCCACGAGCGACAGCTCTTAAAGGGCGAAACCTATATGAAATAGAACGTTGGTTACGTACCATAACCCCAAATTCTATGAGTATAGGCGTAGCCCTTTAAGCGTCAGGCCTCACTGGCTCCTAAATGGCTGAAGAAAAAGCTATTTGGGAGCCGATTACCCGCTCTTAACGTAATTTATACAGACCGGGTGGGGCCCACACAACAGGTGGGCGTGGATTAAATTTTTTCAGTGCAATGCTTTGCATGACGGGATAAACCCACCAGCGACAGCCTTAAAGGGCGAAGCCTATACTCATAGAATCTGGAGTTACAGTACGTAACCAACATCTTTCACCCAAAATACTTTATCAGTCCAAGGAACTGTAAAAACCTCAGCCTTATAAATAGTGGGTCAACAAGTTAGATGGTGCTCAGGTGGTTTTTGGAGTCCGCCCTCTCTCCCGCTGACTCATTTGAGACAGTCATGACCAACATGGTTCAAAACATCCCGAATCCATTCATGCTCAATAATCCAGGTGGAATAATTCAACAAAGTTAAATCAGGTCCTCTGGACAGTTTTAAGATTAGGATTAGCATGAATCAGGATGTTTTGAACAACTTTGGCCATGACTGCATCAAATGAGTGAGTGGGGGAGAGGGTGGACTCCAGACACCACCTGAGCACCATCTGGTTGACCCACTAAGTGAAGGCGCTATTTATAAACTGAGTTTGTTGCAGCTCCTTGGACTGTTGTTTAAGTCTTCTGATGAAAGACAAAACGCTTCAACACAAATAAACCGTCCAGAGGACCTGACTTGTCTTTGGTGGATTTTTCTACCTGGATTAATGCACGTGCGTGCTGTAATGTGCAGGCTGCATTCTTGGCTCGGACGGTCTTAAGGCGATGGGCGGGGCGGGCAGTCTGGGGTCCAACATCCCATCATCCGCTGCCCCCTCCTCCTCCTCCTCCTCGTTCCCCCACACTCCAGCCGTTTCCTGTGCTTCAAATGCTTTTCTTCTGTAAATGACGAGGGACCGAGTGTGTAGAGGTCAAAGGGGACTCGGAACCAGCGCCGCGGAGCTCGTTTTATCCTGTTCTTCTCTGCCCGGGGAACTCGTTGGAGCAGGAAGATAGCTTGGTGCAGCTGTGTCGGAGAGGAGGCTCGGGAGGAGGTGAAACTGCGGGATATGACGAGTGAAGCGGACGCCGCCACGGACAAGATCATAACAGGTGAGTGAGCTCTGACTAACTCGGCTCATTTTGAACTGGAATTAATGCGCATGCACGCTCGCCTCCCTTTTCGCGCTCAACTCCGTGTCGCATTCACGAACCGTCCGGTTTTTCAGGATGTCTATTAAAGTGAGGGCACAAAGTGGTTTTTTTTTTTTTGTACATTTTAATGGATTTCGCTTTAAAACGAACTTGCTTCGTCTCTGCTGCAGTGCAGGGACGCTGTTGGCTCGTGTCTGGGCTCAAGGACAGAGCCGCAGTGTGGAGGACCTCGCCTTCTTCTGGCCTGCTCCTTCTACGTTGATTAAAAAGGCGAAACTTTGATAAAAGTTCGTGTTCGTGACGGTGCGTTTAGGGACCGGGAGGCAGAGCGTGTTTGCTGCCTCACAGACACGACCCTGCTCCCTAACGGTGCAGACACTGGTCACATGACTCGTCCCGCAGGAGTTGTGTGACGCTGCAGTAAAGTCTGCAGCACCTCCTCCTGTAACGCAGCGCTGCTCATCACTCGCCCCGAACCGAACCGGACCGGACGGGCTGCTGCAGCTCTGGGCTGAGTTGAAGATCAGCTGAACCTTTTTGCTGCTGCTTGCTTTCAGAAAGCATCATCAGCTGATATTACCTGAACTTCTCGTGTTATAATACACAGTTAGTCATACAGTAACATACATGTTGTGTTAGTGTTTGCATTTTCATGCGCATCGTGGTCAGATTAATTACATGCCATGAGGGCATTTAGAGCATATAAATGACTGATTGTGGCAGTCTGTCCCTCACAGGAGATGCTCAGACTAACTCTCAGGATGCTTGGCAACAGTCCAGAGTTATGCAAGGCCCCTGGGTGCCTCAGAGATTGGATTTACATGCACTGCAAAGTAATTCACGGTACATACCTGAAATTTGTCATTAAAAAATGAGCAATAAAAAAGAGCATAATGCAGCTTTAAAACTTTTTTATTTTTTTTTATTTTTTATTTTTTTACATCTGTAAGCCTTCAACAAAGATACAGTGGTTCAGAATTGAAGTTGTCACAATGTGCATAATCTAGTTTTGCAGATAAATATACTTTGCTCACTTTCCTCACACATGCATTGTACTTTCTATTAAGGGGGCATAAGCATTGAATCACCTCTTACTATGTAATTTCCTGTTATTCTTTCAGTTCTGTCACAATTTTTATTCACTACTGTTTTCCACATTTTTGAAAAACCTCATGCAAACATTTCATCAAAACGTTTGTTTCAATGAGAAATAGTCTGCTCTGACTTTTAGTACAGTACATTTTACAGCGTATACAAAATTAGCCAAAAATAGCAAAAGCATTTCCACAGACAAAACAACAGGTTCTGTCAGAAAGTCCAGTCCTCTGAAGCTCTACAGCTCAGACACTTGTTTACAGTGATTCTTCACCTATTGCCGGAGTTATGTTCCACAGACCTCCTGTGGTAGATGAAAATCCATCCATCCAGCCATTATCTTTACCCGCTTATTCCATTTTGGGTCACGGGGGTTGCCGGTGCCCATGTCCAGCAATCACTGTGCGAGGGGCGGGGTACACCCTGGACGGGTCTCCAGTCCATCACAGGACCACATAGAGACAAACGAGACAAACAACCATTCACTCTCTCACACCTAGGGACAATTTAGAGTTACCAATCAGTCTAACATGCATGTTTTTGGTCTGTGGGAGGAAACCGGAGAAAACCCACTCACGCACGGAGCGAACATGCAAACTCCACCCAGAAGGCCCCTGGACCGGGGTTTGAACCAAGAACCTGCTCGCTGAGAGGCAGCAGCTCTACCGGTTGCGCCACCGTGCTGCCCAGGTGAAAATCCGCAGTTATATTTATTTTATTATTTATATAGGTTTATAAACCCTTCCCACTCTCCTAAAAACACTTCATATGCTCATAAACACTTTGACGATGGTGATGAAGACGACAATGAGATGAATGTACAGTACAGTAAACACACTATATAAAAACAGGTTTAAAAAACCCGCAATACTGTGAAGCCACAAGAAATGAACCGCACTATGGCGAGGGACGACTGTACATTTAAATGTAGACATCTCTTTCACTGCTAAAGGGCTTACTGTTGCAGAATGCAGAAAGGGCACATCCAGGCGCTAGTCCGAGCTTAGCGTTTGCTTCTCAAAACTGGATGTGAAGGGTCTTTTTATCTTGACTTGTCTCTGCAGCAACATAAAACTAATATTTGTGTGATCACTAGACTCTTCCTTTACTTATGGTTCAAGAATCTCTTCGGCACATCTTATTGTGAATGACTGAAGTTGCTGAACTTCACACCTTATAATGCAGTTCAGTTGTGTGACGTCTGATCAATCTGTCCACATGGAGCAAGTGTGCAACATTCAAAACAAGCCACTGCACATGCGATGAAGCCAGCATGTACGTCTGGAGAGAAGACTGAATTAGAAGCCGGTGCTAAAAAGGAGTGGGCAGTATCTTTATCTTAATAACATTAAGCCATCCTCAAACAGCATGTCTTCCTAGAAGGGGTGGTAATGTTTTCTTATTACTGAATGTCATTTCAAAGCAGTATGTATGTTAAACCGTACTGCTGCCCATCGTTAGTGCTGAAAAAGTCACCCTGTCTTTTGTCAACGTGAAAATGTTATACACGTAGATGCAACATCAGAACAGCTTCCATTTTCCATTTGTCCTGTCTCCTTTGTGCTGTACAAATGGGCATAAACTTTCTTGTTATTTGTTTAATAAAATAAACTAAACTATAAGTTTATTTAGCCTGTCTAAATATGATTTGACAATTTCTGTGTGAAATGTAATTTCTTCAAGCAGCTAAGAAATTAATTCGTATTTATCTGACATTGTTGGAACAGCTGTTGGAGGCTAAAATAAGCTTTTTGTTTGTTGGTTAAACATCAGATGACCCATGGGATGCTGTTGAACATTTAACATACAAGTCTTTAGGAGAAATTACACTGGGAGTACTGATGCTACTTTATGTGATAAAGCAACCCCTAATGTCAAAAGATTGGTCTGCACACAACAAAAGAGCAGTACTTGTCATATCTCACAGTACCAAGGTAGCATTGGGCCTTGGTTAGTGCTTTAAGCAAATATATTATATTGATGGGCAGTCAGTTTCGAATAGTAAAAGCATCTAGTTTAAATGGAGAAACTATTTAACAAAATAATGTGACCATTACAGAAGATTTTTTCTGAACAGCACTTGATAATGACGTGTCAAATTGTTTCCTAACTTACCATAGTTTGACAAAACTGGTCACAAGTTGTTCTGTCGACAGTTTTACTTTAGTCCATTGGAACGATGAAAATAAAGCAATAGATCACCAGCTAGCAGGATTAGTAGCAACATTCTCTTGCTTACCAAAGCCTTGTTTACTTTAGAGACATTTTCTGTGGCAGGACTTTGAGGAGAAAACTTTAATTCACTGCAAGTCCCAACTGCATGGACATGGTTGTTTTTTATCCCCCTTGCTGCCTTTTAGTCAAAATGACCCACGACACCTGAGTGTTAGGACTGAGGCCTTGTGGGTCATTTTGGTTCAAGGGCAGCTGGAGGGTTAAGCCCCCAGTGTACTCCCGCATACGTCCATACGCAGAGGTACGCACGTACGTACGTGGAGGTACGAGCGTACCCCCCAGTACAGTACACGCGTATGTACGCATGAACGGACGTACGCGGGAGTACACTGGGGGCATTAAAGCGAAATCAGAAAACAGGTAATAGTCATAAATCATAAAGTTGCAGATTAACTTAGAGCGTATTAGGACTGCTTTCTCTGCTTTCAGACATCAGTTAAGGAGGAAAATGGCATACATTTAAGCCTGAAATACTGCAAGTTTGTCTTATGTTTGGAATGATGGCTTATTGGTGGACTGAGAACTGGAGAGAATGGGATAAATATTCAAAACAATCAAATAAATAGCAATGGATACAAAGAGTATATTTTAAAAGAATGCCCATCTTTACTTTGTAGCTCATTAATTGGTGATGTCTTTACACCAGACTTAATTAACTGTCTCAAGGTCAAGGTTACTTTATTGTCATTCTCATCACATGTGGTACATGTGATGGAACGAAACTGTGTAAAGGGTCCCAGTTACATCCAACAAAAGTATAAATTTTAAAGAAAAACAGTAAGACATGAACTGAGAAATACACTAAACCAAGAAGAATACGCTAAACACTAGGGGTGTAACAATACATTGATTTAAATCGATGTATCAATTAAATGATTAATGATTCAGTTATATTGTGACAAAAGTAAAACATCGATTCATATCGTCATCTTTAAAATATGCTTTTATTTTGAAATTCCCAAAGCACGTCTGTCACCATTTTCGTGCGCGGCTGCGCTCTGCAGCCGCCTCAGCAACATGACAGATGAGGCAGAAAACACAGATAATGAAGTTCACTCTCCTGCTGGATTTAAATCAACACTGGAAATATTTTGAATTCCGACAGAAGGACGACTCGACAGACAAACTCATGCTATATGCAACAGTTGGCAGTGTGAGTTAAAATACTCGGGAAACAACAAATTTGATCGTTTACTTGAAGAAGAAACACGGCATTGATAGTCATGTTATGTACCTGTAATCTCATTATCAATTTTTGTTTCTTTATAAGTGAAAGGTCATCAGGGCACTTTTAAGTTAACTGGTTTAAAAGGGGTCCCTTCCCATGGGCTCACCACCTGTGGGAGGGGCCAAAGGGGTCGGGTGCAATGTAGGATGGGTGGTGGCAGAGGGGGGGAACCTGGCAGTCTGATCCTTGGCTACAGAAGCTGGCTATTGGGACTTGGAATGTCACCTCACTGGTGGGGAAGGAGCCTGAGCTGGTGTTTGAGGTTGAGAGGTTCTGACTAGAAATAGTCGGACTCACCTCTACGCATGGCTCTGGCTCTGGAACCAGTTTCCTTGAGAGGGGTTGGACACTCTTCCACTCTGGAGTTGCCCCTGGTGAGAGGCGCCGAGCAGAAGTGGGC